TTCAAACATGCTAGCTCAACGTGCAACATGAGGGATTGTCTACGGAGATCTAATTAGCTAAAGCCATACAAAACCGAGTTAAAAATTGGTGGGGTAAAAATTAACATTTTTAGTTAAAAACGTTTTGCGTCAGCGAAAGAGAACATTAAGCAAAATGTTAACATCTCGTGACACATGTCTTCTTTCGGTCTTAATGCGAACTTATCCACAGCTGTCCAATTTAGGAGTACTTTCGATTTATTTTTTTACATTATGACGCGGGTTTTCGCTCCGTTGTGGATCCTTTCGTCCATTTCTATATTCTGGCCGCTGATTTGTCAATTCTGCAAATTTTCTCACTTTTTTTAAATCGATTCTCAAGGTCTATATGGCCTGGAACCAGGACAACGTATCAGCTGATGAGATTAGGCGCTGAACCCCACTTGATTCTCGTGTTGTTTGCTGCTAGCAATCTCACTTTTGTAGCTGGGAGAAAGCTGGTGGCCTTTGTGACATGCATTCTGTGCTGTGATCGTGCTTTTGGGGCTAGACGACTTTCGTGGTCACTGAGGTACATGCACCGTAGTGCTGGGATCTCTCTTCGATTGGCCGCTTCCCCTTCCTGAAAATTGTATCATTGTGTATTCAATAAAACGAAGTAAAAATGAAAAGAAAAGAAGTATATCTGTGTCCTTTCGTTCTCAGATATCGTGCACGTCATCCGTAGGCGTCCAATCTGTATTTTATCATCCATCATATTGTCGGTGCCACTTTAGTTGCTGTGCCGGATTTACTGTGTCCTCTGTTGTTCCCTGGAGGGTTTTTGTCGTGTGTACTTTTGTGGGTATTACTGAGATTTAACACAAAACGTCAACAACAGGTTGTAGGCTAAACAACCGATGATCATCGGATAGCCCAAAATTTGAGAAAATAATTTGGAATTGTATTTTGCAATGTAATTTTGCTATTACATAAATTAGTCTGACAAACAGTAGAACCAGCAAATCCTGCGGTTAAAAAAATCAGTGATAGGAGCCACCAGAAGTTCGTGGGATACCGTAAATCAACCGTCAGCGTCACCAAACGCCACCAAATATGTCACATGAATCGGTTAATCGTTCCAGACTAATTTGCTTTATATTTAAAAAATCGCACTACAAAATCATTTACTCTGATGCGTTTGAGCGACTTCGCACAACAACAAGCAAACCTCGAAAACAGCTATATGAAAACAGGCGGAATACGAGGAATAAAGATCAGCTGAACAAATCTTTTTCTATCAAATTTGACTCAAAACTTTCTGCAAGCAGGTGGAATAATTTGGTGGAACAAAACCAGAAAGATTAATCTACTGCAAAGCACTTAGGCCTTTCTGTAACAAAGCGTTATGTGAATAAACTAATGTGTATACACTGAATACGTTTCAAAAGTCTGACTAGCCTGATTCATATTCCATTTAGAATGACTACAACGGCTGCCAATATCAATGACGATTATTACACCACCAAATGAAGGATGGACCATAAGGAACAACATATATCCACTACAGTCTGAAGCAATCGAGCGCACACATTAGATCTCCTTCTCTCTGTCTCTATCTCTATCTCTAACCCCCGACGCACAAACATGCTAAATCGACCTTTCGATATACATGACCCAATTTTCATAACAGTCTTACGAGAAGAACACAGTGGGTAATCACGGGGTCAAAAACCTTACTTACTTCACGATCGATTTCTGCACACTTTGAGCTGATGCTGGTTTCACGACCATCAGGAAGGTATCGTTTGATTGAACTGTCCAATGTTTTCAATGTTCCCTGTTTGGCCTGCACAAAACAAACAATTCGGAAAGAAGGAGTGGGAACAATACACACAAAGTTGAAGGGAATTTTTTTGGAAAAAATGATCTGAGTAGGATTCACTTCACCCAATAGTTTGGTAATAATCTAATTGTGATCAGCCGACATTTAGTCCAAAACTGATAAGTTAAATCAGCCGAATCTCTATTGTGTTTGCAGCGAGAAACTCGTGAATAGAATTAGAACCACCAAACAAATACAGACCGATATATGTATTTCACGTCGACTTTAGAAAAGATATCGTGCAAGCGCAACAACAATGATGATAAAAATGGCAAATTATAAGGAAATATATTATAGGGAAACATAAGGAAAATCACAATGAGTGGGAAAAAATAAAGAAAAAAAGAATAGCAATTATTTTGTTCGTTACATGGGAGTAATGAGAGATTTGATTTAATTATATAGTGGATTTTGTCATACATAAAGCAAACGAAGCGTGAACTGAAAAGTGATGAAGCATGGTACAACTATTTCGATTTGGTTGGGTCGCATCAACAGTGTCAATCCATCGACCGTGGTTCCTAGTTTTTCAGTTCACGCTTCATGTGCTCGATACATAAGGAAATTCACGAGTTTACTTATCACTCCGTACATGTTGATGTTTTTTCCTCCATTTACTACTCATCAGGCAAGGGATTACAGCTAACAGACCGCACAGTATTCACAAAACTGACTCCTATTCCCAACCATATCCCTCAGTAACACCTGAAACTGGAAAGCTTAGCGTCCATAAAGAACAATAACCCCCATCCTTTGGGCCACAACCTGGAAGGAAGGCAGCAACAATAAAAGCCGATGCTCTCAGTCAATTCTGTTCAGATTTTATAATCACTAACCATGCAACGATTTTGGCTACCCATTTGGATGAAAGAGTAGAGGGGAAATTGGAATGTTGAAAGCAGTATCTGAGAGAAAATAGAGAATTCTCTTGGAATGCAAGAGCACCACTGTTTGCAACAATCAGCCACATCACTCAGTCTCTAATCATTGGCTAAGCTGATCCCGAAGCTCTAATTAAGGGCGTATATTGCGATCCTCACGACCGAGTATCCTGGTCAGGGTTTTCATACCCTCGTGCCAGGTCACAGCTTGACCATCGTTGGCATTTTCCACCCATTACCTGACTCAACAAAAATAGCACGCCGTGGCAATTTAGTTGTTGACATGCGTAACACATGTCGCCACCAAGGAAATCTGGAGTTCAACTTTTGATGAAGTATTGAAAATCCGTTCTCGTAGCTAGGGTGAACTGAATTTTATTTCGCCTGATGGCCACGCTTCGCAATTTGTTTGCAAACATTTCATCACTTTTTTCAGCACCGAAAACTCTATGACTAACCTCACCAGACTCCCACCAGATTCGAACAATGCAGCTCAGACGGTGGCGTTCGAACATCGATAGTTTATCTTTATCCTGATCCTATAAAACTCGTTTTTTATTACACACCTAAGTATGATGAACAGCAGGCAAGGGGAACGCCATAGTTACGAAGGCCTGCTGTTCAGTGATTTCAACCGTTAACCTAAGTCCCGGAACTTGGAGTGGCGAACCACATAAGGTCTCGATAGGTTAGGCGTGGTATTGAACTGAACCTCTGCACCGTAAAGCAGCACGAACCCAGCTGATTCTTCACAGACAATCGAATGTCCCGACGGTACCATAGATGTCTCAAGTTGGCAAATGCTCATGGAGCCCTCTGTATGCATGCCGACACTTCAACCGTGATGCGTTCGCAGGGTGAGCGATAGTTTTCGAAAGCTTTGAAAGTGATGATTGACGTGAGTTAGGGACCGGCGAGACACCCAGTAGTTTCGGTTTTAAGGCGGACCGACCGTTCCCTCGTGGAAACCGCCAACACAAGCCCTGTGACTGGGAGCGATGAATCACACAAGCCAAAAAGGACAGGTGTGTTATTGAGTTAGACGACAGCCAAGCTATGCACCAAGAGGTTTAGGTTGCCGCCACCGGGGTGTTCCGAGGGCTAAGTTCCGAATTTTAGACTTTGACACCTTTGAATACTGCGCATAACCTACAGGGGTCCCTATCTAATTCTCTAGTCCAAATTCAAGGTTTTAGACCAGCTACTCCGAACGGGAGGTGTTCATGACTATAGGGGACCCCTTCACCAATTGTTACATCAAAGTATGCAATAAAAAATGCCGATGATATAATCCTACCACGGATAAACCGACTACTCTGTATCGTTTTTCTGCGTTATTTTCAGGCGTCCTAATGGGGAAATTTAAACCGATCTGTTTTGGGTTCGTTAAGTCAGGCTGCAATTTCG